GTCTGCCATAAACTGCAGATGGAATCATAAAACATAGTTAGATTCAAATTAAACACATCTGTCCAAATCTAAAGCAGGTGAGGCCAGCCAGCCAAGAAGCATCAAGATATAACACTGCACACAGATTATAATGCGCAGAAGTATATTTTAGGAGCCTGCTGACAGTGGAATAAAGAATCATGAAACCGTGTATTGTCCTATTTTCCTTTATGGAGCCTGCCTTGTTCTACTGGTTGCCATCTTAGTTTTAATAGACTCTACCAAGACTTCCACTGGGAAACAAACAAACAAACAGAACTAATACATGGATTTGAAGTCCAAGAGTCTGATTACACTTTGATCAGGATTGTTACCTGATGCTTTCTCAGATTAATTGAAACGACTGGGAATCAGAAGTCCCTACAGTGCATTTTAATTGTACTTGAAATCCCAGCCAGAGAAGGTTTATTTTTACTTAAGATATCAGATCATCTACTGTATCATAATGGGTGTGCAGAGAAAATAATCGTTGTGTAACTTATCCAAACCAGGACAATTTTTGGAGTGAATGGGGATTGTGACAGCTGTGGAGGTGCTGGGCTCCAATCTCCCTTTCAGAAAGAACAAGGAATGCAGTTAGCTCCCAGCCTCCTTCTGCAGCACTTTCAGGACCCCGCATGAGCTTGTGAGCTTCAGTGTACTTGGACCACATCCAGGCAGGGATTGAACATGGTAAGGGCACTAATGCCTGGTCATTTCTGCCTTTGAGGAATTCCTCTAAAGGGTGATCTTTGCTTCAGACCTCCCAGTGGTTTGGCTAAGACTTGTCATGTCTGCCTTACAGACTGAGGCTCACCTGCTCAGTGTTCCTTCTAATACCCCCCCCCTCATTTATTTTCACAGATGTCAGGATTGCATCACTAGTTGAAGGCTTTTCCTTCCCATTTCTACTTTCCTCTCATTTTATCTTTCACAGGCATTACTTCTCAATAAACTTCTTGAACTCTCAACTTGGTCTTAGCACTTACTTCATGGAGAACCCATCTGAAGCAGAGCCTGTAATACTATGTTTGATAGGCTTCTGTTGCCTGCCCTCTACTGTATCCAAGGCCAACATGTTATTTTCTGTTGACATTTTCCTTCTAACACAGGTATCCATGGGGCCTTCATTAATTTCAGGCAGACCTCAGCATACTAGACCGTAATTGAATAGACTGACTAATTGTACTGGAATGAAAAGGCCTAGCACTGAGTTCCTTTTTTTGGACCTCTCCTCTCCTCTATTTTCTACTCTGCTCCCCTCCCCTCTCCTGTTCTACCCTCCCTTTAAAGATTCTCACTGAAATATAGTTCCTACATTCATTATTAACAATTCATGTCATTGCAAAACCTCTCCAATTTTATATCTGCTTAACTAATAGCTTTATGGAACATTTTCATTTTGGGTACCCACAGACTTCTCAAACACAATAGTTCCTTTAAAACAAAATCTACTATATTTTCTTATAAACGATGGCCATTCAGTCATCCAGGAAGCTCTAGAAATCGGTCAAATCAGATTCCTTGCTATCCCTCAACCCCACATTAATTTGGTCACAATGCCATCTTGATTCTACCTTGTACATCATTTTAGCCAAATCTATTACCTTTTTCCTACCTTTCAAAAAGATGCTAGGTAAATATTGATAATGAGGATAAATGTGAGTTTTTACAAGTATATAATCTATTAGAAATAAGTAGACATAAGCAAAAAAGAAGAAAAACAAATACAAGGAAAAGAGAAAAAACAAGTCAGCTCAACAGCAGCTGGAATCTACAAGATATAATTAGAGGTAAACAGATCATCCTGTCTCATTTTGACCACAGAAGCGTTACATGACTGGCATACACACCTGGTAGAAAACCAGTTAGATTAAGTATTATCACCTTGAAAGGGCAACAGAATACCAAGAAAGGTTTTTAGACACCCAAACTCCCCATAATGATGGGATAATCAAAGGAACCAGACGTTGCAGCCTCTTGTGGCCCTTGGGATACCTGGACTGTAAGAGCACATCAGTGAATAAACTATGCAGGGACTTGGCTGTGGGAGTGAGAGGGGTCAGAATGAGAGGGTCTTGATTTTGAATAAATATATACATATAGAGAGTATGTGTGAGAACGTCTAGGATTCTGCTCATGCCTTGCCTTTCTCCTGGAGACCTTGCTTCTGTTAATGTAAATAAAGCAATAGAAACAACTTCTACGTACCTTGATCTGGTCACATTGCTGCAACAACAGATCTGGTCTGGGGAATGTAGAGCTCCTCTTTATATAGTATTTACAATACACAAAATTATGATTGACATCTCAGCAAAACAATGTTTTGGCGTTAATAGTCATCGCCATGCACTGTATGGAGTTAGGAGATGGCAGTGTTGTTAGTCTAACTGTACAAAGCTGAGCTGCTCTGTTCACGCCAAAGGCAGAGAGGCCCGGTTTTACTTTTAAACTGGTGATTGGGTCTTTCTAGAAAATTTCAACACTAATGCCTTTGTTCTGGGTTCATTATCTGAGGGGAAGTGTGGTACTGATTTGGGGGAATGGCTCTCAGCCTTGACTCTTTCATTTGACGCAATACAGTGCTGCCTGAGTCATCATAAAATACAAATGTGACCACATGGTTTGCCATGCATAAAGTTCTTTATGATTTTTCCACTGCTTAAAGATAAACTTCAAAATTTTGGTCCAGTGTACCACCTTTCTGAGCTTATTTCTCTCTATTACTCATACGCAACTATGCTCTGATTGGGGGGACTACTTGAAGTTCCTGGAGTGAGCATGATCTTTTCCCCTGTGGACGTTATTCCCTTTGCCTGGAACGCTGGTCATGTACCTCCTGTTCTACATCACCTGAAAGTGCCGAAGCCTTTTAGAAGCCCCTACTGACCCTACAGTTTGAATCCTGTACACTAACCACAACTTTTACCGCTGTGTGCTGTAATTGTTATTGCTTTATCTCCCCTGGTAGGCTCTGTACTTCTTCATGGTAAAGTCTGTATGTCCAGCTTACTCAGTGCCTACCATAAAATAGGTACTCAAGGAATAAAAGGATAGAAGGACAAAAGGATGGACAAGAGGAGGGATAGCTGAGTGGCTAGTTAGCTAGAAATCTAATAAGGTAAACAGAAAGTACATTGAAATATCTCTACCACTTGTCAACCTCCCCATTCAACTGTACTCTGTAGAATGCTGCCGTGATAGTCTTCCTAAAATATAGGTATGATTATGTCAAAACTTTACAATAATGTAAAAGGATTCATTGGTTCTTCATCTGATAAGTTACAATGTCATTTTTTAATCTTTCCTGATCTGACCTATTTACACTTTCTCAGCTATTCTTAACCAAATACTCCGTAGTCTAGCCTATTACAATCTTTGGATTTCTCAAAACATATTAATCCATTCATGTGTTCACTTATTTAATGACTCTCTCTTCTAACATCTGCTCCAGTGTTAATATTGTGTTTTTATGTATCATCTAGTATAGCTAATGACTTGCTGCATAAATTTGACAAAAATCTTAACCTCCATTTTTATTTGTCTAAAATTTTAAAGTGGCTAGCAGGGAAAAGGGAAAGCTCCTATAAGGGAATCAAGTTCTTAAGAAATATTAAGTAGTAGGGAGTTGGGGCCCGGATGCTTTTTTAACTTTTACAAAGCCTCATTCTCTTAATCTAGAAGGAGGTACTTTCACCTACTAGGCTCCCTTAAAAACTGTATGGGCTTTTCTGAATCTGATTGCAGTAAAGCCACAGGCATGGCTACCTGAGGCCTTGTTTTCCCTTGAGGCTTTGGGGTCTGCAAGGTGCTCAGGGTTAATACCCTTCAGATTTCTAGAAACCCTTTGAATTACCTGAGAGAGTCTTTCAGGTTGCACCTGAATTATTCGAAATGTTTTCACAAAGTGTCATAGCCACATCCTTGATTTGATATTTATGTTGAGAACATGTCTTTCTGATCAAGATCTGGACTTGATCTTTCACTCGTTTGAGAGGCCGGAGTTGAGAAATAGCTTTATTTTCTACCACAATTCTGATCCCTTCATGTTCCCTTCAGGCTCTTGCGTTTTTTATTTAGCACGTCTCTTTCTTATAGTACCTTATCAAATGGAGCTATTAAGAGCCAGCTGACATTTTCACATTCTGCCTGGAAATCTCATTACTAGTATACAAAAGTTCATTAGGTACATTTTCCATCACCGAAGTTTCCTCAGGTGGCAGCTTTACCAACTGCTCCTCTGCATAGCGTGGATAGCCATCTTTCCAGCTTCCTGCGGCCCTTCTCTCAGGACCTTTCCGGATTTTATTCTCTACCCGGCACCAAAGCCAAGGGCACGTATTTTAGGTCTTTGTTATAGCACAACTTATATGCAGGTAGCGCTTCCTCTCCTATCCTCCCACGTTTATCTTCCCCCCTCCAGTAGGCTGGCCTGCCTTTATTCTCAGGCATGGGGGGGGGGGGCTTCTCAGAGGAAGTGGAAATGCCCAAGAGCGTTTGCAGACCTCTCCTGCTTCATCCTACAGCCCAGTCAAGTCGCAGGGACACGTGCAGAGTCTAGGGATCCCGAAATAAATCCCACCCACTTCAGGAGAGGAATTGGAGAGTTATGGAGCAAAGTATGTGGGTATCGAAAGGTTATTTATTGGAGTAATTAACAAAGCAGTCTACCATAGATTTTTCAGTTAATCTTCAACAAATTAGATAGTATTTCATTTACATGTCATGAAGGAACCCCAAACTGAATTAATAGCTTTTAGCGTGCAATTCAGTATGAATTGTTTGAATTGTGAAATTTAATATTTGCTGTGTTACCTACCATGTCTCTTAAAAACGCATGGTTTCAAATGGGTCTTGCAGGCCCCATCTGCTGATGTGACTTGCACGGCGACTTCACCGAAGGAAGGTGAGTGAGGCATGTGAAGCGGCGCATTTCAGTGCTGAGACAACGGAAAGTCACGGTCGGCTTCTTTATTCCTCAGGCGACGTTTGCGATCCCAACCCGTGTGCAAACGGAGGCGTCTGCCTGTCAGGCCTGTCTGCGGATTCCTTCTCCTGTGAGTGCCCCGCCGGCTTCCCGGGGCCCAACTGCTCTCGCGCTGTGGAGGTTGGTAAGTGCAGACTGAGGCCTTTGCTCGTCCCCTCTGCTTCCCCGCGTGACTGCGAGCCTGGCTCTGGTGCCTCGTGGGCATTCTGTATGATTGCTGTGTGCTGCTAATTAGTTTACTCCTTTGCAGGACTCCCCGTTTTATTATTTCCATTTCATATTTAAATTATATTTTGATTGGTGTTCTTAATGAATGATTTTAGAATCTTTTAGTGATTAGCACTTTACTTTAAAGTCACTACAAGCACCACTGGAATATCATAAATTTCCTATCTCTCTAATATTAATATACATTTATTCAAATTTTTATCCACAGTGGAAAATAATGCCTAAGTCAATTTATTCAAATTAAATAGTCACTCTAAATAAAATAGAACTTATTTTAGCAACTGATAATATTCATCAGTATTTTGTAGCTGTTCTCATTTTTATTTTTTCTAAGACTATAAATATATAAAAGAAGACAATATTCCAGCTAAATTATTCCTCAAAGTCTTCTCAAAAAGCTTTGCTGTGCAGATACTAAATAGTTATTGGTCACGCTTCAAAATGTTTTTTCATCTGGGAAGTCCTTCACTGGCATGTGTAGTTATGCATTCAGGGTAACTTCCATAGTTTCCAAATGGCTCCCCATTAAGGAAATAGCTGTACTTTAAATAATTTAGCACAATGTAAACTTGTATAGAGATTTTTCTTCCTGGTTAAAGGTAATACGAAGATTGAGTTTGACAGATTTCTATATTTTTTCAAATCAGTGCCGAGATGAACAAGCAGTGGACTGTATCTGCTCTATGTAGGAAAACCAAACATGTTTTTGATTAAAGTTCTGTCAAGTAGCATAAACCTTGGGAAATTGGAGATTTGTATGACTTTTGAAAAATAGTTTTGAAGCAAGAAAGTAATAGTGTCTATAAGAATCACCTTTATGCACTGTAGGAGCCCAGTCACTATTGTTTCAGTGAATTGAAAGGAAAACTAAATAAAACCCTAAACTACGTTTTTTGGCCAATAGTTTTGAGATTTTAGTGTGCTTTATTTTTTAATGCCTTTTCTTGTATTTTTTTATATTACATTAGTATGAATGTATTATATCTAAAAATATTAATTATATATGAGTCCTGAAAAGTACCTTTTTCATTAACTCATTTCAAAGATAATTCTCTTTCAAGGATTTTATTAACTTGCTCCTATTTAAGAGGGTTTGGTACAGTGCCATAGAAGTTAAAATTTTGTAACTGACCCAGTCTCCAAATATGTACAGTGAGTTTCAGAGTTTAATCTGAGAATCATATACTTAGGAAAGTCTATAGCTCTAAAGAAAATTATACACATAAGTATTTCTAACAGAAATTTGTATAAAAAGAATACAAATTTAGTGTTATATTTTAAGTCCAGTAACCCCAAATATGGTGGTGCCTTAGATTTGTAGTATATAACATTTTTGTTGCTACTTTGTAAGTGTTCAATCTGTAGTTGAAGGGGCAAATACATTTAATTAATTTTAAATACCAGTACGTTCATACAGTTTTTAAATAAATACTTGAATAGCTTTGGCTATATTTTTAAACATTAATTGCATATTCAGCATTTTATCAGAAGAATGATACTATTGGCAGCATCACTTAAAAACTAAATGCACTGTAATATTCCATGTAGTTCAGTGAGAACTTGGGGAATCAAATGTTTACAAAATTAAGTTTTATTCAGATTTATTATTATAAATACCTCTGATATTCAGAAACTGGGTAGTTATACTATATTATCTTAAGTTATACATTTCTTTGATATGTTTCAAGCAAGCTCATTCTTCCATTAGGAAAATTTACAAGTTCTTGGAAGAAATACATCGAGTTTTTATTTGCTTTATCGTTTAGCACAGTATATTTGTTATGCCAATTCCAATTTAATGTGTTGGTTTTATAAGATTAAATAAGTGCCCTAAAAGTTTAAAATGTCCATAGTTTCTTAAATACAACTTTGCTATATTGTGAAATGATATTTTTAAGGGATGAGAGGATAAAGAAAAACCAAATACACTTTCCAGGTTAGATAACTCTTTAGGACAGACGCGTCACCTTATTTGCCTTTCTACCACCTCCGTACTTTCTCAGCTCCATACTTTCTTACATAGAATAAGGGAATATTGAATATTTATTGAATAAAAACAACAACAATGCCTTTAATAGCTAACCAACCTTAGATTTTTTTCATATTTTAAAAATTTATTATTGGAACAAAATAAATGAAACTTTAGATTATTGAAGATCATCCTTCCTTTTTAATTTTAAAAATATCTACTACTTTGCTGGGACCTGTTTGCTATTGTTTCCCTGCTATAGGGCATCACGAGTGCAGAAAGCACAGTGTACCAGAATTTATTTATTTTCTCATTCAAAAGTTATATGTATTTTAATGTAAGATCTTAAAAGACAAAAGTTTGGGCTGTCACTATTGCTGTATTTTTACTTCCACGTTAATCCCCCAAAGATGGAGGTATATCTAAAGTTTTTTTTAATCTTTCAAACCATATGGTTCTGTGATTATATGAAGTTCTAAATCACCTTATTTTTAGTTACCAATGAAAAGAAAATAATATTGTCTCTATTTGCTTAGGAAAGTTGTGTTTTGATCCCAATTAAAAGTATTTTTACTCTGTTTATTCTGTAAGCAAACATATATATATATATATATATATATATATATATACTCACTGTATCGTTCTATATCTCTAAAGTAGAGTATCAAATACATGCTATTCTTAGAGGTAAAAACTGTTTTTGATTTTACCTCAAACCTCATTACTTTGAAGCGGCCTTTTTTTCAAGTTCTTGATGCTACTTATTTCAGAAGAGATTCTCATCCCATTTTGTACTTTAATTCTTCCCTCTCAAAGCATCTAGTGTCAGATAGTACAGGACACTTTACCACATCTGAGATCAGTCCTCACATCATGTACATTCCTGTGTTATGTGTGGAATCTTGGAGATATTGAATTGCTCAGATTTGTGAACTTCATTTGCTAGACAACATTGCTTTCCTTTGACTCAATTCTTGTTCTGTCTGTATATTCCAGTTTCCATCTTTTACCTCTTTCTGTTTCTATCCATTTCTCTCCCTACTCTCTCTGTCTCTTTCCCTACCATACACATCTCCCTTTATACAGACCTATCTTGATGTCTCAGTGTTCCCAGCCTCCTAGTGTTTTTAAAACTCATGCTGATATCCATAAAAGGCAACAGGAAAACATGTCTCAGAGCAAAGGAAAGGAAAAAAACACACAAAAAACCCTACTACACATGTTCAGATTTGAAGACATTGGCCAGATTAACCAGTGTTTGCACAGATGTGCACATGATGCCAACTCCTTCTCCAGGGCACTTGTACACGGACAACCATGTGGTTAAGCTCCAAATTACTTTCTAATTACCTCCTCACATTCCTGGTTAATACCGTGTAATTTGGAGCCCAATGTCGACACATTTATTCTATATAGAAACTTCCATTACTAGTGAATATTCTAGAGTACACAAACAAAAATTTTTTGGAATTATTAAATTGTTCAAGTTTGATGGCATAATTCTCCAGTAAACTAATGAAAATATAAGCTTTTACAACACAAATATATAGTATATTAATGCAACCAAAGAGAACAAAAGAAATGATTGACTTTTAAAAATAAAATCCTAGTTTTTATTGATTCTTAAATATATATTGAGTGCTTACTGAGTAATAGTTACCTAAATGGTAGAATACAGTGGTAAGCAAATTTACAGAAATTCTTGTCTAGCTAGGGAAGCAGAGAAATAAATAAATAGATAATATGATGGGTGTTGCGGTAGGAGAATTATATGGAGCCATAAGGCTATAAAGCAGGTGTCATATCTTAAGCTAGGTGTCAGAAAATGCATGCCTACCTGAAAAATATCTTGATATAATTCTTAAAGATAATTTCAATCTAGCAGACAGAAAGCTAAAAGTATTCAAGACAGGAAATAATTCTTAGAAAAGCCAGGAGATAAGAAAAGTCATAATTCCATGAACTCAAAGAAATTCAGTGTGACTAGAGCTTAAGAGAAAAGGAAAGACATGGTGGCCAGCAATGAGCCTGCAGATAGCAATGATGACAGATTCTGCAGTCTTGCAATTATTTTTAAGGACTTTGCACTTATGCTAAGAACAATGGAGAAGATTTGTACTTTTGTCACATGGGGGGGAAAAAAATAGAACAGATTAAGGCAGAGAGACAATTAGAAGGCTACTGCAGAAGACCAGGTCAGACATGATGATCTTGGCCTGGATCAGTGTCCTAACAGGGAACGGAGAGGAGAAAGTCAATAAATATTTAAATAATATAGTAGATAATTACTGGTAACTTATAGGGTAGTTGAGTAAAAGGAATTTGGAGAAAGTAAGAAGTGAAGGAGAAATATCACGAGTTTCTGACCTGAGCAAATGGCTGCCATTTACTCAGACAGTGCAAACTGAGGATACACTGGCTTTGGAGGCAGAAAATGAAGTGATTATTTCATATATTGAGTTCAAGGAATTAGCTAGATATTAGGTAAGAAGCCAGACACAGATTAGTAAGTCACAATTATATAGATATTTACCGATGCTCAAGGAATGTATGGATCTGCCCAGATGCACAAAAACTTCTGAAAAGATGAGAATACCTAGAAATGGAAACTGATAAGAGGTTCATCAATAATTAAGGAGTAGGTAGAGAAAGTTAAATCTGTAGGGGAGACTGAGAAAGAGTGGTCAGGAAGATAGAAGAGAAACCAGGAAAGTGTGGTACCCCAAAAGATAAGGGTAAACTGGATTTCAAGGAATGAGTGATCAGCGGTGTCAAATATTGTGGAGAATTTTATTGAAATAAGATTCACATTGATTATATATGATTTATGGATGATATTGCCAAGGTCAGTTTTGTTGGAGTTTTGGAGAAAGAGCTAGATTGTGGTGTATGGAAGAATTGGAGTAAGATTTTAAAAGGTGGCTAGG